AAAAATTTCCGGATACGTGTGGACGGGGCCTTAGTATAAACCTACTAAATGGTCAAATAAATGGGTATAAACAATTTTTGAGATAAGRTCGAAATGATTTAGTTTTTGAGCTGCTTCAGTTCAAGACTGGCAATTTTCTCTACTAGTGGTCTAACACTGATAGATTAMTAGCAGCTCAGCCAATCAGAGTGCAGRATTYGTGATRGACCAWWAGTAGGYTTATACTAAGAGCACATATCWARACTCTCTCAAACTCAAGTCATTCTAGTTTTTAAATTTCATGWGTTAGTTAGAAAATGCATTCCTTTCATTTTATCAGAATTTCCTTCAAGATCCAAAAGTCGTAACCAAATACACGTACACTTTGATTTAATTATTGTCGCACAGAATAACTGTTGTTTGAATATCTTCATATAATTAAGATGACCAGCCAACATAAGATGTCTGGTCGAGGCAGCCACAGTTCCTGGTCATTCTATTTGGTACTATTCTATATGGGTTTCAGTCCTGGGTTCTTGGTGTTGTACATACAGTCCAGGAAGCCACATGCTAACTCTGACACCATAGAACGATCTGGAATGTTCTGGGCCATACCATATATGGCACCCTAAATATACACAAATAAGGCYATGATTAGRGATTTCGATCTTACTCTCCCCTCACTTTAAGATGAATTTCTGAWGGCTTTTTTTTCTATGCTTCAATCTTATCCTGCCTCCCCCTCCCCCTTCCTTTCCTCCCTGTCCCCCTTCCCTGTCCCCTTCCCCTCCTCCCTTCTATCGTCTCTAATTCCATTTTCCCAGTATCCATCCATTAACCCTTCCCTCCCAAAATCAATTCCCAACGATACTAATATACTCCACTTTCAAGTTCTCTATTCCTCATTGTGRGCCTTRATTTTGCATAAAATATTYRGCACTGAGAGCAAAACAYGTGKAWKTCTAAAGCAATTGACCTTTCCCAAATTCTTTGAGTGACCAACTTCGTGCTCCACAGACACTTGTTTTTTACTGAAATTCACTTTTATCTAYTCCTTACCATTCCAGAGGTCTTTGCATTCGGATCATTAATCAGTTTAGCAGTACATTCCCTGCAATCCTTCAAGAACTTATCCACTACTCCTGGCTGGGTGCTTAGTAGGGTAAC